GAGAGTGTCCTCCTTAACTAGTCTCCTTGAAAAGTGCCTGAAACGCACTTTTACTTTTAAGCTGGGGGCCAGTGCCTTGCAAGGCTGTAATGCCCCGCCTCCTTGGCCGCCCCCAAGCCGGCAGCGGGATCACTGGAGGTCCACGGCGACTCCTCCGAACAGCCTGGCCCAACCCATCGTGATCAACTCACCTCCCCACCCCAAACACGCACGCCAAAACTCCTAGCCACCCATTGTGCATGACACCCTGTAACCTCTCCGCAATTCGGGAGGCTGGAGGCGAAGAACTCGCTGATACCTGGGTGTAGAGGTCCCGTGAGCTGAGATCCACCATAGCACTCCTCGCCTCGAGCCTACCAAGAGAGGACAACTGTCTCAGAAAAAATCAAAAAAAAAAGACATTTACTTTTTAGATTAGTGTGAAGTAAATAACATGCGTGAAACTCGTAACTTCTCTCCCATGTAGTATTCATGCTGCCCTGGAATGTTACTAATACCTTTTTTTTGTTATTTTCCGTGATCCACTGGATAAAGATCAGAACACTATGCACAGTGCGTACACTACCCTTTCAACTTTTTCGTCACTTCTCGTCTCTTGGTGTAGCCTCAGCAAAAAAAAGGAACGTAGAAAATTGCCCCCCCCGCCCGCCCCGGGCACTGCCCCCTCCGCGCACTCGCCACGGGCGCCTCCTTGGGCGCAGGCCCCCCACCCAGCGCGCGGCAGACACCCCGTGAGAGGCGCGCCGCCCGCCGAACCACCCGCTGCCGCCGCCCACTTCCGCCAAGCGGCGCCTGCTCTCCCACTAATAAGATAGGCGGCGCCACCAGATACACGCCGTGTCGTTGGTGCATGCGTTGGCCCTGCGTGTTTAATGCTCAGCTCGCCCTTGGGGAGGGCGCTGAGTCAGGAGAATGCACCTGTGAACCCAAGAGCGGGAGCGGTTGCAGTGAGCCCGAGCATTCTGCCCCATTCCACCTCCAGCCTGGCGAGCCAACAGAACGCAAACTCCGTCCCACGCAAAAAAAAAAAAAAAAAGAAAAAAAAGCAGAAAAGAAAAGAAAATTGGGACTGTTTTTATAACCCCACTTCAGTTAGTTTTAGGAAAGGCTATACCTAATACAGTAAATACACGAATGAACATATCCATGCTACCGTGTTGAAAGCAAGCATTTTCCCTGCCATTGTTTCTTTTGCACTCCATCATAGCCCCAGGAGAAAGTCAAGGCAACTGTCCAAATCACATTTGATCATTGCAGAAACTCAGGATCTGAAAAGCTAAAGACTTACCCTAGAAATTTGCAATGGTACATGGCAAAGGTCTTCCAATATTTTGTTAATGCTTGTTCCCCCACTGGCTAAAAAGGACTTGTTAACCACAGGAAAATGCACAAAATGAGTTCTTTTCATGACCACTCTGGAGCTGTTGGACTGTTATGTTCATATTCAGGATGTTGACATACAGTGACGGACTGGACAACTGGCCCAGGGCACGTTCAGCCCTCTGCCCAATGGTCTAGACGTGTACAGAGTCTGCATCAAAGGCACTGTTTGGGGACCTCATGCATGAATTATGAGTGACCCTGAATGATCAGGAAGCGAGTATATTCGCTGCACTGTCATGCATCCTCCTTAGGACAGTAACTCATCCTTGTCTGCTCATCCACATTTCCACTAAGCCTGGCGTGTCATAATTGTACAATAAATGTTTACTGAGATGCATTCACCAATGGTAGGAAATGCATTTATTATGGAAAATGGAAAAATGTTTGTACATGTAAACCTTACCAACCTTTAACTATGAAATGTTACTTTATGGTGACATGTAAACTGAAAATCTGAAAAGCACAAGGCCTCCATAAAACTACAGTGGCCAAGACTATTTTATGTTTTGTAGAGCCTCGCTCTGGCTTCTTCAGATAAACATCATTTTGTCAACAACGAACCCATGGTTTGTAGGTTAAACTTTGTGGGTAGCAAGATTGAGGTGAGTTACTCTCCTGCTTGGGCAGAACATTCCTGAAAGACGTATACTTGTTTTTATTTCCCAATCAAGTAAAGTCATCAAAAGAAAGGAGAACTCTTTTTGAGCATTTACCACTTGCTACATTGCTTCCTGTGTACATTGTTTCCTTTAATCCATCTAACAACCCTAAAAACCAGCATGTGACTTTCTTATTTTGGATAATGGAACTGAGGCTGAGAAACCTTCAGTAACTTTTTCAATTTCGTTTTCTCCAAACCCATACCATTTTAATTCTATAGAAAAGTAGCAGGGCATTTACACTACCATTAAATGTAACAACATCTAAGAAAGATTTATGTTTGTTTTTCATTAATTACTGAAACAAAAAATGCAGGATTCCCTTTCAAAGACGTGTTCTGAGAGATGATATGTGTAAACACATACCTGTCTTTATTGGAGGAAAGATAATTTCTTGATCAACTCCATTTCTATTATTCTCGTGTCTGACGATACATCTGTGCTCTTTATCCAGTGACTTTTCTGGCACAGTTAACCAGCTAAATTTCATGTATGTGTTGTTAGTCTTCATGGTGTTACCCTCTTGGGATTTCAGAACCTGGTTGCTGTTCTTTTCTTGCCAACGTATCTCAATAACATCTGGGAAAAATTTCTCAAGAAGACAAAGGTATGTTCCAGCCTTGTGGAGGTTTGTTTCAGCAATGGAAGGAAGAAAAATAGTGGGCTTGGGTGAAACATCTGCATCAAGGTGTTTATCTATGGGGAGAAATGGAATATGAATTTAAAAGAATCATGAGAGAAACACACACATTGCACGGTTTGGAATGGCCTAGTACATAACAATAAAAAGAGACGGTGCCGTTGAGCTAGTGTCCACCGGGGCCTTTCATTCAGGATAGGCTGCACAGTACTTATTACTGTGCTTCTTTTATAGATGTTGAAAAGAGGATCAAGAAATTAAATAACTTGCCAAAAGTCACAGCTCTTAAGTGTCAGATGCTGGATGAAAACCTGGCCTTTGTTTATTCTGCACATGCTGTGAGGGTGTGTGATTTTTAACTGCCTCCTACCAAGGCTTCCAATGTTCACGAACATATTTATTTTATTTTTATCTCTTTTGTTTCATCATATGAAGCATGTTTTCAAGGTGGATGGCAGGGGAAAGGGGAAAAAGATCAGATAACTTCAATGATCTTTCCACAGATGAGACTCTGGTTCTTTTCCCACTTCCCTTTTCCATCCTTTGCAACTTATGTTCTTTGGCCAAATAACACACGTTCTCACGTTTCACAATTTTGTGTCCTCCCACTCTTCATTTCACTGATTCTGCGATGCACCATATTTATCTGATTATTTATCTTATTTCCCATATGAATAAATGTCAGAATTTAAAAATATTATTAATCTTATTTCCCATATGAACAAATGTCAGAATTTTTTTTTGTTTGTGTGTGTGTGTGTTTTTTTTTTTTTTTTTTTTTTTTTTTTTTTTTTTTTTTTTGAGACTGCAGCTTGCTCTGTCACCCGGGTTGGAATGCAGCAGCACAATCATGTCTCACTGTAGCCTCAACTCCCCAGGCTCAAGTGATCCTCCCACCTCAGCCTCCCAAGTAGCTGGGACTACAGGTATGCACCACCATGCCTGGCTAATGTTTGTTTTTTGTAGAGACACATTTCACCATGTTGACCAGGCTGGTTTCAAACTCCTGCACTCAAGTCATCTGCCTGCCTCAGCCTCCCAAAGTGCGGGGATTAGAGGTATGAGCCACCATGCCTAGCCATTTTGTTCACTTTTATTTTTAACAATACATAGTCACTTGTTTTAGTGAGAATCTACTTCCACGTGTACGTACTGTCTATCAAGTTAACCATGTAGCTTCAATGTGTATACCATGAGCAGTCCTCCTAGTTAATATCTAACTTTATATAACATCTCAATTTCACATCTTCACCCTCCAAGTTTTGGGGTGGAGCAGTATTTACAGCTGTACCTCCAGATTATTCACCATCTCTTGAATTTAGAAACAAAATGGCAACATTTCCAAAACTCTTATTTAAATGTTTTATTGATTATTTTCAGAAATCCTCTCGTGTTCATCTTATCCAGTAATACACTTATCAAAATTTTGTTTTGCTTTAGAAAACATACACCAAAAGCAGGTTTTATTTTGGAATTTCATTTGAATTTTAAGAATGACTAAGAATGCACCAGGGGTGTATTTTTTTATACTGGTTTTTATATAAATTTACCCCATTAATGAGAAGATCTATGTAAATCAGTATATCTCTATTTTGACTCCTTATGTCTCTCTTAGAATTTGTATCTGTTCTCTATATTACTTAACCGTTTTAAAGCTCCACTATTCTCTTTGTCTTAGCCTGCTGAATAAAATCTATATGTAATTGCTCTATTAAAATTATGGTTCCAGCGCTTCTTATATGCATAGGGTCAAGATATATAACAAAGCATTATATGTTTACAAAGGCATATCACTTGAATCTGGAATGTTAATGGGTTCTACATTTATTTTTAATCTAATAACTGAAATTAGAAATGTTACAATTCTTTCTAATTTGATTTCGAATTGAAATTCCAATGCTTTGGCTGATGTGAAGTGAGTTTGATAATTGAACAATTTCTTAAGAAAATAAGAATTAAATTTCTCATTTGAGAAGAAAAGAAAACAATCTTGATAATTTCTGTTTCTGTAGCAAAGTTTCTGATTTTCATACAAAATTAATAAACATATACAGTAATATTAATTTTTGAGCATGCTATAAATTTAATTAGGCATAATGTGCTTACTTTAATTTCATACTCTTTACTTTTAGTGCAAATAGTATTTTATTTGTTATACTTGTGAGACAGTGTATATTTTTCCACTATATAGTTTGTTTCTAATTTTAAAAGCATGTTATAAAATATAAGATTAATTTTTCAATTGTACATTATCTTTCTATAATTTTAGTCTCTAGTCAATATATTTTCCAATCTAATTTTCATCCTAGGAACTAGTGTCTCTTCATGGAAATACTTCTAATTCATTGTACTAAAGAAATTAAAAATCAAATGATAAACTTGGACATTTTTTGTATGGTACCATGGCATTCATTGCCTCTTGTCCCCTTTCTTTAGCTAGATTCTTTAAGTTTCATTCTTTTCAGGACAAAATGAATCTGGAACTTCCATAACTTCCTCAACGTAATAGTTAACAAATCATTAAATAGCATACTTCATTATACATGGTAAGGGCCGATATTCTGGATCATCCTCTCACATGATTTTTAAAAATACTACTTTAAAATGTACATATTAAGAGTGTTTTTTATGGTCAAGTATGATAAGTTTTTACTTCAATCATAAATAGAATTTATATATTTTATTTATTTAAAATGATAAACCTGCTGGATTCATCTATGTACATTTATTTGCATAATTAAATAGTATATGTGAGTTAAATTGCCTAAGTTGTTTGTAGTTTATTAAAATACAGCATTGCAAATTTACCAAGTATCAACTACATTTTCTATAGATGGCATGATATATTAAATCTACATATAGGTATTTATTTAAGTGTTCTCTCTTATTTTTTCGTTAAATAGTTACAGTCATTTTATATTTAAATATGTTTTTCAGATTTATGATGTTTCCATCTTGATTTAATTGATTTGATATCTTGACCATTTTTGGTAAGATTTTAACCTTTTTTTTTTCCTGAGACATAGGAACAGAACCCTAAACTAATTGGCTACAAATCTTAGGACCAATATGTTGGTGTTAGAAATGGTATCAATTAAGATAAAGGATTAAGTAAAGCACATAGAACAACAAAAATAAAAAATAAACATCTTAATGCAATGTTTTTGCCAAGTGATTAAAAATCTGCTAACAAGAAACGAATCGATAAGTTCAATTTTTGTGTGTGTGAGCCGATGTTGAGATAACCTTCCATTTGAGCAGTTAGAAGTACAGCTGAATCCTGTGGAGAAATTTTATGGGCTGAGAGCAACTCTCCATAGTAGATCCCATTCTTTCTTTACACGTGAATCCAGAGAACATTTGTTGGGCACCTATTTTGGGTTGGACAATGTGCTGAGTACTAAATTCACAGTATCTTGTGCAATTCTTATACAACCCTGCTGAATTCATACTGTTATCCCATTTTATGAATTAGAAAACTGAGGTCAGAGAATAATCACTCAATTTCACTAAGCAGTGAGTGGTGGAGGCAGAGTTCCAGGTGGACCTGACTCCAACACCCGGGCTCTTTCACAAGAGTCAACATCTCTTGTGACCATCAGAGATGAATATGTGTCCACTTTATGGAGTCTATCACAAACTTACCTGTCATAATACATTTTGTCTCAGGGTCAAACATTTTAATGGTATCATTTCATACAATATATATGAGCACTTTATAGAAGTCCATATATGCACAAAGGCAAATCCTATTATGATATTTGTGCAATGTTATCTGTGTTCTCTTTTAGTATGAGCATTTGTTTTAAAGTCTCTCCTGAGATTTCTACATCAAATCCCCATCTAATTCCTCTCTTTTCTAAACATTATTACATTATTCCATTGTAATCATTTCTTGCCTTCCCTCTATTACCTTGGAAATATTATATTCTTCTGATACTTACCTGTGACAACAAGGGTTGTTCCACTGCCAAAGAGTTTCTTATAATAATTCCACAGTGATTCAGTCCATATCAAAAACTCTAATTCAGTTTCCCTGAGTTCTTCAAATTCTGGTGGTCTGGGATTCTCAAAAGACCAGGGTTCCAGTGCTGGTTAATTTTGCTCATAACAAGCTCTGTTGCTTCACAAATCAAATAACTTAAAGCTTTTGGTGTTTTATTTATCTAAAAACAGTGATGTTAGTGGAAATCAGTTCAACATCACTACCAGCACTGAAGTGAGACCAAAATGAAACAAGATATAAAAAAGCAATTTGATTAAAATGTTATAGATCCCAGTGCAGTGGCTCATGCCTATAATCCCAGCACTTTGGGAGGCTGAGGGGGGAGGATTGCTTGAGCTCAGAACTTCGAGGCCACCTGGGCAACATAGTACCTAGTGAGACTCCATCTTTACTAAAAATAAAAAAAGCATTAGCAGAGCATGATGTGCATGCCTGCAGGCCCAGCTACTCAAGAGGCTGAGGCAGGAGGGTTACTTGAGCCTAGGAGTTTGAGGCTGCAGTGAGCCTTGATCACACCACTGCACACCCACCTGGGCAATAGGGGAAGACCCTGTCTCAAAAAAAAGTGCTATGGAAATATAAGAAGTTATGATGATGATGTCATCATCATTGTTATGATTAGCAATCTGTTTGCTATGATTGTGTGCCTTGACATGACATTTTAACCCTATAGGACCAAGCATTGCCTTTACTAAAAAAAAAATTCAGTGTTTTGGAGTGTGGCGGTTAAATCTGTAGCAATTCAGCAGGAAGAATCACTTCTTATTCAGTTCCTCTGTTTGCATTCCACTTTGCTCTGACATGCCTGGGATTCTGAAAGCCATCGTCCCCATCATCACAAGAAACATGACTTCCACACGCCCAGTCTTTAATAGGCTATCATTTGCCTTATCTGCCGTGTTAAGAAAATCAAAGGGAACATTGGCTAAAGTCTAATATACGCAGTCAGTGTATGGAAATTCTTCACTTTTGTTTTTCGAAACAAGTGAGGCTTTTTCTAATCAGCAGCACAATTTATTTGCCTTCCAAGTTTCACCAGAAACTTCAACCTCAAACTGACTTCTGTCTAGTTCATGCCAAAGTCCAGTTTAAAACACCTGGCTTGACCCTTCAAGGCAGAAATGGCTAGAGAAATGGCAGGAGGCCTGGTCCTCAAATCCATCTTTCTGTTGTCACTTTAGATCACTACATGTTATCTGCCTGACCGTGTCTGCTGAGCATCACCATCTGTGCATCTCATTAAATGTCAGGCTGCCCATAGCACTGATGCAGTGGTAATATGCAATGGGTTTGTTTCATGACCATTCTTTTCATTTTCCAAAATGGAATTTGAAGGCAATGGCCCACTCTTCCATTTCCTTCTAAAGGACTCATGCATTGAAGTCCTTTTCTAATTTAGTAATAGAAAAAAATACGATATTTGAAAAGTTGATGTGCTTCTTTTTATCAGTTAGTAAGAAGTATGTATTCCCCTACCTTTTTCTCCTTCCTTTGATCATAAAATTTTAACCTGTGCTCCTTGCTAGGTAATCACAGGCCTTTTTCCTTCTTTCCTTAGAGCTTTAGATCATCTGCATTAATTTAATGGTCTGACTGTGCTTGTGTGTTTTAACTTAGGTCTTCTCAAATAGATTTTGGAACAGGTAGCTTAAATAAATAACAAATAGTTTGTGCATTCAGCATGTTTCTCTTTTGTCCTCAGGAGTAGATTGTTTTGTAAGGTCAAGCTCAAATAAAACACAAGGAATGGAGAACACGTTTGCAAATCCTAGCTCTGTGATAGGGATACCTACATACTAAATTTAGATAGACGGGAAGTGCCAGACCATAAAATGAGGCTTTCTTTCCCAAAATTTTCTCTCACAACATGGGGAGGTGCCTTGTGTATGGTACGGTCTTTGTGTAACGTCTCATATTAAAAAATGTTCTTCTAATACTCTGCTTTGATCCAGAAGGACGAACTGGACGAGATATCACATGAAATGAACTCAGTGAATGCTAGCTTTGGCAATGGTAAAAGGAAATAAAAGCAAAGAAATTTATCATGGATTTGGTCATTATTACTTGGGGCGAAAGTCCCTGTAGTTTTTACTTACTTCATACAAATGTAGAATAACAGAATAAATCGGAAAAAATAATTTCCTTTCATTTTTTGAGTGGATAATTGTTTCTTAGAATAAAATATTCAGGGACACCATCGTAAGGGGAGTCCACAGTGGAGACTGAGACCTGAGATGCCTTAGAAAGTTGCTCTAAAGTAGTTGCTTTAGATGCATGTGAAGCATCAAAACAAAATATTTAATGAAATATAAGGGCCACAAAGCCAATATTTCTCAACTGTAGGTATAATCCAGTTAGGAAATTAAATGTTGTAAGTAGACATTTGACTGTTTTACCTGTATCCCTATAAATTTACATATTCAAGTTGGGGGAGGGGAAAATACATATTTTATTAAAGTTGTATAAATTTTCTCTGGAAAATGGAAAATCACCTTGTATTCAGGCACATCATATTTGAGATAATACATAAAACATTCTAATTACTTTTAGAAGCAGGTACAATTAGTCTTTTAGAAATAGAAAGCATTTTACAAATAGTGATATTTGTTCTGAAGTGAGCTATTGAATAGATGGGGGTTGATACATTTGTCTGTATTCCTGAGTGTATAAAGACCTCTCATGGGTAGTAACTTGAATTCTGGAAGAGGAATTAATATTTCTATCACCTACCAAGTGCCAGGCATTCTGGTGGGTAATTTCCATATTTAATTTCATGTAATATATACAACATTTCCTTGAGATACATAATCGCCATTACCTTCATTGTACAGATGAACTTGAAATTGGAACTTTCAACTTTGCTCTGTTATTGCAAAATATTAAGGACATTTGAAAAGAATGTTTATGAAGTAGTGAGAAGTGAAAAAGCCAGATCTATTATTGTGTGTCTAGTATGATTCCAACTTTGTAAAGCAAACAAACAAAAGGCATGGGAAAAAGGTTGAAATAAAAGTATAACAAAATGATAATGTGATGAGGATAGATATCATACTTAAATGCTTTGTTTATTTTTGTGTGTTTTCGAATTTTTCTATAATGAACCAGCATTTTTATAATTTGAATACTTGGTGAATCAAAATACACTTCCTAAAGGGCAGTTACATAGAAAGCGGCAGCCTCAGGAGTCATCAAGAAATAAAGTCCATACACTTTCCTGCACCGCACTTTCCTGAAAAATCACTTCTCAGAAAACTACAAATTATGACTTTGATTGCTACCATTCACATGAAATCAACTGGATGAAAGAGAATCAGAAGGTCACTTTTTAACTTATAAGTTAATTTCATCATACGATCTCAACTGCTAAGGAAACAAAAATATATAATTGCTTTTACTTTTCTCAATGCTGTATCAACTTTGTGAAAATTCTCTGAAAACTTTCATTTCAGTGGATGTAATAGACTAAGAGTATCTTTGTAAGATGTTTCCTCTCATCCAGGCAAAATTACATCTGAAGCTAACACATAATAAATGAACTTATTGGACTGATTTATAAAAAACAATAAATGCAGCTTATGTCACCTTTGAGTATGGTCACACTGTGAAATATTTCGACATTTGATATTAATCATGCTTCGGTCAAATTATCAAATATTTCACTTTCTGGTGACCAAATGAGGAGGGTAGCTGATTTTTTTTTTTTTTAACTTATTTCCATTGGTTATTTTTAGAATTGAAGAAACAAAATCTCTGAACTAAACTTGTTCACAAAACTTTCAACAGAGAGATACCAGTGGAACATAAGGCCTCCGTCCTTTAGAGATTTGCAGTTGGTCTAAGCTCCTTAGTAATGTCTCCCATGCTAGGGCTGGAAAAGTTCTGACTCCCATGGCATGAACCAAGTCACCTGACCTCTCTGTAGATTTCACCATGATTAGTGACCAAACCAGGAGGGAATCCTAGAAATCTGAGCCAGCTCCTGCATGCCTGCGTCACATCTCTTCTCTACATTGCAAAATTTGAAGAAAACTTACCTGTAATAATGAGCTTTGTTCAGGAGCCAAACACCTTGATTTTTTTGCCAAACTGTTGCCTACCACCTGAGAAGCCTTTATAAGAATCTCCCCTTATGTTTGTTTTAAAATTGTGCCAACATTTTTCAATATTTACATAAACGCATAAAAATTGGCCCTGCTGACATTAAGCCAAGACAAAGGTCAAACAAAATCGCAAAAAACCTGAATGTAATCAGGAATTTAAGGACTGACCTCACCCTGCCCTGGGCACTTTGGGTTATGTACATTCTCTCCTTGTATCACATACATTGAAATGTCTGATTTTACCTTTTCTCATGATTTTGCCTGAATCTTCTAAATCTTCCCTAAAGAGTTTTCATGTATACACTTTGTCTTAAGTGTAATTTAGAGTTAATATTTCCTTAATTTTCAAAGAGAAACAATAATAGGATTTGTATGTTTGACATTTAATAAACAGATATTGAATATGATTTATAGGTATTTTGCGATTCGTATTTATGGAGGGATGGGTATCTAGATTGATTCTAATGGAACTTCTTTTGGGTCGGGCAGGGTGGCTCACACCTGTAATCCTACCACTTTGGGAGGCTAAAGCCGGTGGATTACTTGAGCTCAGGAGTTCAAAACCAGCCTGGCCAACACAGTGAAACTTCATCTCTACTAAAAATATGAAAAAACAAAATTAGCCAGGCATGGTGGCAGGTGCCTGTAATCCTAGCTACTCAGGAGGCTGAAGCAGAAGAATCTCTTGAACCCCAGAAGTGGAGGTTGCAGTGAGTGGAGATCGTGCCACTGCATTCCAGCCTGGGCGACAGAGCTAGACCATTCATAGGATCAAGTTACAGAAGAGAAAATATTCAAAGTATAAAAATATTACTTAATATTGCTAAATATCACATAAGGGTCCAGACCAGGCACTTGGAAACAGATAGCCTTACCTAGATCCCAGTCGTTGCCACAGTGACTAGTCATGTGACTTTAAGAAAGTAACTGCTCTTCTCTAGGCCTCAGTTTCCTCATCTGTGAAATGGGACTAAGAGGATCT